TTTTATAGATTAAATGCCTCTGTCTTATTAAGACAAAGACAACGCTCGGGTGTATGCGCACATACACATTACCCCACAACAAACCAATGCATGCATTCGTGCATGCATGCATGCGCAGGGGAGGATTGCATGCATGCATGCATGCAAGCAAACAAGAGGCATGCATGCATGCATGCATGCTTGGAGGGATATCTAAATTAGTGCGCATGCAAATTAGCATTAAGGAAGCCCAACGCATGCATTTTGCATGCATGCGGGGCTGCATGCAGGAAGAAGAAATAAAGCCCCAAATCGTCATTAATATCCCTGAATAGGGAATTTAACAGCAGCAACAGTAGCAGCCTGCTGCTGCTGCTTGCTGCTGCTGCTGCTGCTGCTGCAGTTGCTTGCTGCAGCAGTCTAAATCATGTCCATATCATCACCTAAGTCTTCGTCCTCCGCCTGCATGCAAAAGACGCAGGACACCACCGTACTGTTACTGTTGCTGCTGCTGCTGCTGTTGCTGCTGCTACTGCTGCTGTTGCTGCTGCTGCTGCTGCTGTTGCTGCCTTACTCTTGCTCTCTCCTCTTGCATAGCCCTCTTCCTCTCATCATCTTCTATGGTTGGTTGTCTCTCGGTGCTGCCGGGGTATTGCATAGCCTAAGAAATGCATGCAGACACAATCAGTTACCTGCTGCTGTTGCTGCTGTTGCTGCTGTTGCTGCTGCTGCTGCTGTTGCTGCTGCTGCTGCTCACCTTAACTGCGTCGTTATATAGACCTAAGCAGAAAGTAATACGGCGATGGAAGGCCTTCTGTGGCTCACTAGAGGAGTATAGATCTACACTTGCCTGCACAGCAGCAGCAGCAGCAACAGCAGCAGCAGCAGCAGCAGCAACAGCAGCAGCAATTGCAGCACCAACATACAATCCCCTCCACCCCACCCCAATAGAGCACCCAGCAACTCAACGAAGATAACAGCCTACCTAACCCTAAACCCTAAACCCTAAAACCCTAAACCCTAAACCCTAAACCCTAAAAACCTAAACCCTAAACCCTAAACCCTAAACCCTAATTACCTTAGACTGTAAGAATTGTTGATCATGATCAATGGTTGCATCAATAACACCATCAAGAATTGCTTTTGCTGCTACTGCCTCTGCTTCTTGTGCAGAATCCAGCCCCAATTTTACTGCTATGTCCTTCTGAATGCGCATGCATGCATAATACATATATATACATTAGGATACACTAAACACATCAATCTCTACAGCACGAACAGCAGCAGCAGCAGCAGCAGCAGCAGCAACAGCAGCAGCAGCAGGTAACCAGGTATATCCTTGAATAAGAAAGGGAGATAATACATAATCCTACCCTAATAACACCTTAATGTAATCAGCACGACCATGAGCAGCAGCATAAACAGCAGCAGCACCACCACTACCATCAGCAGCAGCAGCAGCAGCAGCAGCAGGAGCAGCAGCAAACTAACCAGATATATTCTTGAATAAGAAAGGGATATAATACGTAATCCTGCCCTAATAACATTCTGATGGAGACGACGTAACAATGTAAATGTATCATCTAATTTAAATCGTAACTCGTGCTGCTGCAGCACAGCAGCAAATGCATGCAAATCGCCGCTACGCACAGCCTGCATGCATGCAGCAGCAGCAGCAGCAACACACACACACATACATATATAATTATATGTATATTTATTATTTTATGAGGTCTAAATGCTGCTGCTAATGCTAGTGTAGCTGCTACTTCTGCAGCAATTCCTGCTGCTATATTTGCTGCTGCTGCTGCTGCTGTTGCTGCTGCTGCTGCTGCAGTATACTTACAAGGACAATCTCTCTATAAGGAATAAGTTCTGCATGCATATTTTGTTTATTAAACAAAGATCTCTCGGGTATATCCCCCATTAATAATTCAACAACTATACATTTCTTTAATGCCTACAAGGAGACACAAAAGGAGACACAAAAAGAAAAAGAAGAATAGAGGGATTTGCTGCTGCTGTTGCTGTTGCTGTTGCTGTTGCTGTTGTTGCTGCTGCTAGCGATCGTGTTGCTAGTTGTCGTGATGGTGATGGTGCTGGTGATAGTGACGGTGTTGGTGTTGGTGTTGCTGTTGCTGTTGTTGCTGCTGCTGCTGCTGCTGTTGCTGCTGCTGCTGCTGCTGCTGCTGCTGCTGCTGCTGCTGCCTTACTGCTAATCTGAATCCTCTGGCTATATTTGGTTGTTGGGGTGCCTTCCTTAATGCCAATTGAAGATTAGAGAAAGCAGAACCATACTCTAAACGTGCTGCCTGAATCTGGCCTGCAGCAGCAGCAGCAGCAGCAGCAGCAGCAGCAGCAAGAGGAGGTGCAGCAGTATGAGATGCAGAACTGGAGAAAGTGCAGCAGGTGGAGAGGTAGCAGCAACAGCAGTACGGAGGCGTGAAAGCACAGCAGCACAAGACACGCAAAAGGTGCAACATATAATGCAGCAGCAAATGCAGCAGCAGCAGCAAATGCAGCAGCAGCAGCAGCAGCAACTGACCTAGATAGTATAGGTAACGTGCATGCTGTGCATTGGATTGAAGTCCTTCAGGATATGTTGTCTTTTGTACCTGCAGCAACACAACACCAACACCAAACAGCAGCAACAGCAGCAGCAGCAGAAATAATGCAGCAGCAGCAGCAGCAACAACAGCAGCAGCAGTAACAAACTTCTTCCCCTCCCTTATAACCAGAATTAACAGCAGCATTAGCAGCAAACAACACCAACAACCATCACCACCATCACCCCCCCCACCCCCACCATCATCACCATCATCAGCATCAGCATCAGCAGCATCAGCATCAGCAGCAGCAGCAGCAGCAGCAGCAGCAGCAGCAGCAGCAGCAGCAGCAGCAGCAGCAGCAGCAGCAGGAGTACCTCCTTACCAATTTAAGTGCTATATCATGTTGTTTATTTTGTATAAATAATTTTAATAATAAATTAAGGAGTGTTGCCTCTAAAGAAATATCTACACGGATTGATGCCTTACGGTATGCAGACATATATTCCCTATAAATAAAATAAATAAATAAATAAATATATTTATTTATTTATATAAATATATTTATATATATATATATATATA